CTCTTATCTAAGGGGCTACCCCCTATGACCTCCACATGCCAAATTCGGGTTCCATTTGCTTGATTAGTTCTAGAGTTATGCAGAAATTTCTGTTTAATTTGTATGGGAGCCCCCCTTTACATAGGGGGAGGGCTCTCGAACCATTATAAGAATCTTTCCCTGCCCCAAAAACCCCTGCATACAAATTTTCACGCTGATCGGTCAGCCAGACAGACAGACAGAAATTAATTTATATATATATAGATATATATAGATTTACTCATAATGCCATGTTGAGAAGTCTCAATCTTGGATTCAAAAAATGGCGGCGAACAACGAGTTTTAACATCTACACGTCGTCCTCGTTCCAAAACTACCCATATTGTTGGGTGTTTGACAATTTTTCTAAAGGTGACTGCCGCCATCTTGGATTTCAAAATAGCGTCCAACATCGGTTTTCGATCCTTACATGTCGTCTCCGTTCCGGAAATACCGATATTGTGTGTATTTGACAGTTTTTTTAGAAACCCGATCGCCGCCATCTTGGATTCAAAAATGACGACGGGCATCGAATTTGGACATGTACACGTCGTTCTTGTTCTGGACATACCCTTATTGTAGGGTATTTGACAGAGTGTTTAAAATCCACGGCTGTCAGCTTTGATTAAAAAATGACGTCCAACATCGATTTTAGACCTCTACACGTCGTTCCCGTTTGGAAAATACCCATATTGTAGAGAATTTGACAGTTTAATAAAAAACCGATGGGTGCCATCTTGGATTTCAAAATGCCAGCGGACTTCAAATTTTGATATCGACAAGTCGTCCTCATTCCGAAAATACCCATATTGGTGGGTATTTGGCAGAATTTTTAAAACCAATGGCCACCATCTTGGATTCAAAAATGGTGTCCAACGTCGATTTTTGACCTCAACACGTCGTCCCCGTTAGGGAAATACCCATATTGTAGCGCAATTGACCGTTTTTTTAAACCGATGGTCGTCATCTTGGATATTGAATTTTGACATCTACACGCCGTCATCGTTTTAAAAATACCCATATTGTTGGGTATTTGACAGATTTTTTAAAACCAATGGCTGCCATCTTGGATTCCAAAATGGTGTCTAACATCGATTTTCGACCTCTATACGTAGTCTCCGTTTCGGAAAATACCCATATTGTGCGTATTTGACAGTTTTTTTTTCAAAAACCGATGGCCGTCATCTTGGATTCCAAAATGGCAGTGGACATCGAATTTTGATATCTACAAGTCGTCCTCGTTCCGAAAATACCCATATTGTTGAGTATTTGCCAGTTTTTCTAAAACCAATGGCTGCCATCTTGGATTTAAAAATGGCATCCGACATCAACTTTCGACCTCTACACGTCGTCCCCGATCCGGAAATACCTTATTGTAGGGTATTTTACAGTTTTATAGAAACGCGATGGCCGCCATCTTGGATTTCGAAATGCCGGCGGACATCGAATTTTGACATCTACATGTCGTTCTCGCTCCGAAAATACCCAATATTGTATTTGACAGAATTTCTAAAACCGATGGTGGCCATCTTGAATTCCAAAATGGCGTCAAACGTCAATTTTTGACGGTGGTGTCCAACATCGATTTTCAACCTGTACACGTCGTACTTGTTTTGGCAATGTCCATATTGTAGCGTATTTGACAGCTTGTTTTTCAAAAACCGATGGCCGCCATCTTGGATTACAAAATGCCGATGGCCGCCATATTGGATTACAAAATCCGAAAATACCCATATTGGTGGGTATTTGACAGAATTTTTAAAACTAATGGCCGCCATCTTGGTTTCAAAAATGGTGTCCAACATCGATTATCGACCTCAACACGTCGTCCCCGTTTGGGAAATACCCATATTGTAGCGTATTTGACCGTTGTTTTTAAAACCGATGTCCGTTTTCTTGGACATTTAATTTTGACATCTACATGTCGTCGTCGTTCCAATAATACCCATATTGTTGGGTATTTGGCGGTTTTTTAAAACTGCAGGCAGCCATCTTAGATTTCAAAATTGTGTCCAACATCGGTTTAGATTCCAAAATGGCAGTGGACATCGAATTTTGATATCTACAAGTCGTCTTCGTTCCGAAAATACCCATATTGTGGAGTATTTGCCATATACCCAGATTGTTGAGTATTATTTTTTTAGAAACGCGATGGCCGCCATCTTGGATTTCGAAATGCCGGCGGACATCGAATTTTGACATCTACACGTTGTTCTCGTTCCGAAAATACCCAATATTGTTGGGTATTTGACAGAATTTGTAAAACCGATGGTCGCCATCTTGGATTCCAAAATGGCGTCAAACGTCAATTTTTGACCAATACTCGTCGTACCCATTCGGAAAATAATGACAATAAAGGCACGGCATTACCAAGCCGGAGGTGGCGGGTTCGATTCCTGGTCCGGTCGAGGGAATCTTTCGGGTTGGAAATTTTCTCGACTTCCCTGGGCATAGAGTATTATTGTGCTTGCCACGCAATATACAAATTCCTGAATTGGTATTGGCATCGAAAGCTCTCAATTAATAACTGTGGAAGTGCATTTAGATTGATTGATTGATTTATCTTTATTTAGGAGGCTTTCAGCCTGAGGCTGGTTCGCCTCCAACTGTGCATTTAGAACACTAAGTTGAGAGCAGACAATAAGCTAATATGCGATAAGCAATAAGCTTGATATGCGAAAAATAAGAAGATGATGAAGAAGGCGATTCCAAAATGGCGTCAAACGTGAATTTTTGACCACTACTCGTCGTACCCATTCTGAAAATACCCTATTGTAGAGAATTCGACAGTATTTCTAAAACAGATGGCAGCCATCTTGGATTTCAAAATGGCGTCTTGCATCGATATCCACGGCTCCATGTTTCGGAAATACTCACCATGCACAGCAACATCCTATATAGGCAGGCTTTCGAGACATAGCATATTCAGGAATTCCACATGAACACTATCGGAGCCTCCCTTAGTTCAGTCGGAAAAGGCGCAGCTACAAAGCAAGACCATGCTGGAGGTGACTGGGTTCGATTCCCGGTTCAGTCTAGGAATTTTTCGGGTTGGCAAATTTCTCAACTTCCATGGGCATAGAGTATGATTGTACTTGCCACACAATTATACGAATACCAAAATGGTACAGGCATCGAAAGATCTCAATTCATAACTGTGGAAGTGCATCTAGAACGCTAAGTTGAGAGCACGCAATAAGCTAAAATGCGATAAGTAGTGAGAGAGTTCTGAACTAATATGAACACCATCCAGAAAACCGTGGTCACCTGAACATCTTTGCTGAAGACAACAACTTTCTACATGGCCAGGACCAAGAGATATTCTATTTTGGACCCAAATTCCAAATAATATAGCGCCCATCATAAGTAATTTGAAAGTGAAGCGCCTCTAGGGCCGTATTTCCTAATTAAACCTGAATCGAATTGCCGCAGTACAACAACTTTGCCGAAGACAGTATAGCTTTATGTATTGAAACAAACGAGATAATCGACCACAGCCCCATTAGTGAAAATCGCATAAGCTGTGGGTATCCTTATTCGCGGATAGCCCGGCAATAAGGATCCGAAAATAAGGAATTATAATCTCGCCGGTTTCCGGAACTTGTTTCCGGTCCACCGGACCCTGTTCCGTGGTCACCGGTTAGCCTATGTTTCGCTGGACAGTACATGATTTAAAGTTACAACACATTCAGCCTTTTGATATGCAATGCAGATGCATTTTGCGACACTGATTCTGAGTGGTCAATTCGGGCCAATTTTAGATTTGTGGCCAGAGGCTTAGCATTCAAGCCCTAAAGATTAGTTTAGGTGCAAATAAATTCTTAATTTGGATAGAAAATGCCTCCGAAATCGTTGGGTCAAATTCGGATTAATATAACCCGATCCACCTTTAACGTAGCTTTTTTAAAACACCGTTGGAAGCTCAAACATACCTGAAGCTTTTTGAATTTCCATGAAGTTCTTGAAACATCTGTAAAATTCGTGCAATTGTCATGAAGTTAATGGAACTGCCCTGGAGCCTGCTCTCCGTAGAGATTTTGCTGAAGTTTATCGAACTACGCTAAAGTTTTCAAAACTTACGATTTGAACTTCCCCGAACGTCTGGACTTCCCTGAAGTTTTCGGCACATTCGGCACACTGTGTGCATTTTGCATTGTTTTTTTTAAGCAGGTCCTAACCCGTTGAAGCCCTTCTGTCGTTCCAAAAAAAAACATTCACCCAATCCAATCTCCTGTTTCGGTTGTTTTGAACACTTCTTAAGCCGTTGCCCTTGACCTGTTTTCGAGTAGTGTGGAATTCCCCCGCCCGAAAGTCACACTCTTACTCTCCTGCGGTGTGTGAAGGTGTACTTTTATGACAAACCTGACGAAACGGTACATTGTTCGTATTATCCTCCTCCGCACAGCGCACAACAGAAATGTCGGTAAACAACACAGAAGCCGTCGGCCAGCCTTGCCTCCCTGCCGCCTGTCACTTGCAATTTAAACCGGGTTTTCTGGCAGACTCTTCAATGAATGGGTCATAAAATTGCACTTTCTTCTGTGTGACCATTTTAGTACCAATCGTCGTTGTGTTGTGCGTTGCTATATAGCGCCGTGGCGATCAAAGCATGCCTTTTGTGCTCCATCAGTGTGCGTGCGGCTATTCAGACGAGGCATTGCGGCTAACGCACTTTTTTTTTAACGAATGCAAACTGCTGTAGACGCAAGGTGTGGCAGCGCATGTAAATGGCCAACAAATTAGTCGGTCGGTCTATTTTTGGCACTTCGGAAATTGGATCATCCGAAAACGGGGAACTTGATGTTTCAATTAGAGAGGAAAACTGTCGGTTCGAGGCGAATCGATTCGATCGGCGATAATTAGGTAGCGAATGATGGCTTATCGGTGCTACGCGGCGCGTAATGCGGCCCCTAATGATTGTTACGAAATTGTTTTTTTGAAATTGTCTTCTTAACGTTTCTTTATCATCCGTTTACTTTCAGGTGACGCAAGCTGGCGACTATGTTCTTGCTGTTGCATCGATGCTATTGGCCCGCCTTAAACACGACGAAGTCACACACATCCTCAGTCAGGTAGGTGTCAACGCTCTCGATCGATTTCCTGCTAGCTTTCCAAAACATCTGCGAGTCGAGTCCTTCCTAAATCTGCACGCGTGCAAACGTTTAGTTGCAAATTTCTCCGTAATTAATCACTACGGGTAGCTAACTAGCTACCTCTCGCGTCGGTGAAAATTTGTGTTTTTTTTAGCAACGAAACGTAAAGAGTGCATGAACTTCATCATCGGCAAAGATTGACTGAAAGTCCTAAAAACCTGTTCCACGGTGGAGCGAAGGTAACGGTACTCACTCTGACACACTCACCGGCTCACGTAAACATTGCACCATGCTCCGAAAAATCGCACTCGGATCGAACATTTACACATGTTTTGGCAAATCGTAAAACGAACCAGCGGCGCAGATCGTTAAATGGCCCCGGAGTCTTGCGAAACCTTTGTTTGCCCCGATCCGGTCGGTCGGTCGGTTGGTAAATTGATTTGTATCTTATTTAATCGGAGTTCAAAATTAACAAGATGCACCCCTGGCGTTGATTGGATATTGTCTGTCTACAGTCCCTGATTGCTCCTAGAGCTGGGGTGAGAAAGTCGCTGCTTGTGGTGTTTGATTTTGGCGCTTGAAACCGATAAAAGATCTTCTTTCGATCTAGGTCTCAATAGATCACTTTGACCACCGAAACCAGCGACTAGCAGCTCGCGTTGCTGCCTCTTAATACATCGGTTATTGAGAATCATAGCTTTTATGATGTGCTTCCCATCGACCATGGTGACATTTGCACGGCGGACGTTCACACTTTAGGCAAACAAGGTACAAGGTGATGCAGAGTAGATGTACAGTCGATCCGGATAAAAGGATCAATCGTTGCCGAAATTGCAGCCACAATGCAAGCCCAAATTAAGCTCGTTAATTTCGATTTTGTTTACCACCGGTCGGTCGGGGCAAAAGTAAATTGCTTCCGTAATTTTGGCTATGTACCTCAATAATTTAAGTCGTCTTCGTCGTCGTCGTCGTTGTCTTCGTCGCACACCCTTGAATGTTGAAGCGAGCTGGGTTTCATTCATTCATAAAAAAGGAAAGACAATTGATCCATCTACAGTTACGTATGCTTTGCTGGTCTACAATTACTATACTAAAAATCTTTGAAATGATCCGGATCGTCCGGTGGACCATTCCGTGGTCTCCAGGACCCATATTTCGATCATGACTTAGAATTCATTTTGATAAGACGTCTATGAGTGGTTTCGAAAAAAACATGGAGCTCTAGAATCAGTTTCATCAATTGACCACTTTTACCGATGTTCCGGATCTTCCGGTGGACAACCCCGTGTTTCCCAGTATCCATGTTCCGGCCATAACTCCATATTAATTCTGATAAGACGTCTTTGAAAGGTTTCGAAAAAACACAGAGGTCTTGGATCAGTTTCATGAATTGACCACTTTTCTGGATGTTCCGGTGGACCATCCTGTGGTCCCCAGAGTCAATGTTCCGGTCATAACTCCATATTAATTCTCATAAGACGAGAATCATAGACGTCTATGAGTGGTTTCGAAAAAAAGACGGAGCTCTAGGATCAGTTTCATGAATTGACCACTTTTACCGATGTTCCGGACCTTCCGGTTGACAACCCTGATTTTCCCAGTATCCATGTTCCGGTCATAACTCCATATTAATTCTCATAAGACGAGAATCATAGACGCCTATGAGTGGTTTCAAAAAAAAAGAAGGAGCTCTAGGATCAGTTTCATTAATTGACCACTTTTACCGATGTTCCGGATCTTCCGGTTGACAACCCTGATTTTCCCAGTATCCATGTTCCGGTCATAACTCCATATTAATTCTCATAAGACGAGAATCATAGACGCCTATGAGTGGTTTCAAAAAAAAAGAAGGAGCTCTAGGATCAGTTTCATTAATTGACCACTTTTACCGATGTTCCGGATCTTCCGGTACACAAACCTGTGGTTCCCAGTATCCATGTTCCGGTCATAACTCCATATTAATTCTCATAAGACGATAATTATAGACGTCTATGAGTGGTTTCGAAAAAAAAACACGGAGCTCTAGGGTCAGTTTCGTGAATTGACCACTTTTACAGATGTTCCGGATCTTCCGGAGGACCGTTACGGGGTCCTCTGGCTCATATTTCGTTCACAATTTCGAATTAATTCTAATAAGACTTCTATGAAATGGTTTCGAAAAATCCACGGAGCTCTAGGATCAGTTTCAAAATTGACCACTTTTACCGATGTTCCGGATTTTCCGGTGGACAACCCCGTTGTTCCCAGTATCCATGTTCCGATCATAACTCCATATTAATTCTGATAAGACGTCTTTGAGAGGTTTCGAAAAAACCACAGAGGTCTAGGATCAGTTACATTAATTGACCACTTTTACCAATGTTCCGGATCTTCCGGTAGACAACCCTGTGGTTCCCAGTATCCATGTTCCGGTCATAACTCCATATTAATTCTCATAAGACGAGAATCATAGACGTCTATGAGTGGTTTCGAAAAAAAAACACGGAGCTCTAGGATCAGTTTCATGAATTGAACACTTTTACCGATGTTCCGGATCTTCCGGTAGACGACCCTGATGTTCCCAGTATCCATGTTCCGGTCATAACTCCATATTAATTCTGATAAGACGTCTTTGAGAGGTTTCGAAAAAACCACAGAGGTCTAGGATCAGTTACATTAATTGACCACTTTTACCAATGTTCCGGATCTTCCGGTAGACAACCCTGTGGTTCCCAGTATCCATGTTCCGGTCATAACTCCATATTAATTCTCATAAGACGAGAATCATAGACGTCTATGAGTGGTTTCGAAAAAAAAACACGGAGCTCTAGGATCAGTATCGTGAATTGACCACTTTTACAGATGTTCCGGATCTTCCGGAGGACCGTTACGGGGTCCTCTGGCTCATATTCCGTTCACAACTCCGAATTGATTCTAATAAGACTTCTATGAAACGGTTTCGAAAAATCCACGGAGCTCTAGGATCAGTTTCTAAATTGACCACTTTTACCGATGTTCCGGATCTTCCGGTGGACCATACTGTGGTCCCCAGAGTACAAATTCCGGTCATAACTCCGAATTAATTGTAATAAGACGCCTAGAGTGGTTTCGAATAAAAAAAACACGGAGCTCTAGGATCAGTTTCATGAATAGACCACTTTTACGGATGTTCCGGGTCTTCCGGAGGACCAGACTTGTGAATTTCCGGATGCAAAATTTTCCCAAAAGGTGATCATCTATCTTGTTAATAACTTTTCAGAATACATCAGGAAGTTATCTTTTCAAATTAGGCGAGCTGGGTTTCATTCGTTGTTGTGAATGTGTATGCTTTGGTAGTATACAATTATTGTACTAAAAATTTGCTGAGCCATGAACCATGATGGAAAAAAAAAACATTTTAGTACAACCAATTTCGTTTGATGAATGCTTTTGAGGATGTACCTATTTGTATGGAAAATCAATATTCAAAGGCATCATTTGCCATCTAAATTTCATGCATAACTGATCAATGTTTAAGGATCCGAAGGGATAACAGCATTTGACGATATGTTGATTTGAGCTTGCGAGTTAGTTAATTGACTTTCAAGTTAGCGCTTGCTGGTTTAAGAATTGTTGAAACTGAAACAGCATTGGGGTTGTACTAAAAAAAACATCGTAAAACCTTGTGACATCTTAAAATAAAAAAAAAGAATTGAGAATATGGTTCGAGCTCAAACCCACACATTAAATGCATGTAACGATAATCGATTTTTTTAGTACACATCTTCTCGTTCTTTTTTGTTTAGAAAGTTGAGCAGTTCCAGACCAAATAACCAGAAAAAATAAACCAATTTTAGATTTTACCTCTCAGAATTCCATGAATCAGGAAGTTATCTTTTCAAATTAGGCGAGCTGGATTTCATTCATTCATGCACACTTAGAAATTATCGCCGACTTCGGTTATTTTACCGAAATATGAACAGCTGAACTGTTCGGTTAAATTTATGCATTTCACATCAATTGCTTTTCAGTTACTTTGAAATAAAATCTTCACTAAAATGACAAGATTTGATCATTTAAACAAGGTTGAACATATTTAAAAAAAAAATATTTTTCAGTTCAATGGGCTTTAAAATGAAGGTCAAAGTTTTACCGAACGTTCAGCTGTTCTGGTTTCGGTAAAATTTACTGAAAACAAAAACAAAATCTTAGTTTGTATGAATACGAATGCTTTGGTAGTATACAATTACTGTACTAAAAATTGTTGCATTTTATATATTTTTTTTAAATATTTGCTTGAGCCATTAACCTTGATGAAATCAAAAAATATCGTTTTAGTACAACCAATTTCGTTTGATGAATGCTTTTGAGGATGTACCTATTTGTATGGAAAATCAATATTCAAAGGCATCATTTGCCATCTAAATTTCATGCCTAACTGATCAATGTTTAAGGAACTGAAGGGGAAACAGTGTTTAGTTCAAGCATTTGACGATATGTTGATTTGAGCTTGCTAGTTAGTTAATTGACTTTAAAGCTAGCACTCGCTGGTTAGAGAATTGTTGAAAAAAAAATGGTTATTTTGCTTGTACTAAAAAATAGAAAATCATCGTGAAACCTTCTGAAATCTTCGACATTTAAAAAAAAAATGAAAATATGGTTCGAGCTCAACCCCTTACATTAAATGCATGTGACGATAATCGATTTTTTTAGTACACATATTCTCGTTCTTTTTTTTTAGAAAACTGAGCAGTTCCAGACCAAATAGCTAAGAAATAAACCAATTTTAGATTTTACCACTCAGAATTCCATGAAACTTCGTCTATCTGTTCACTAAGGGCAATAAAACAAGTTTGTGCTAAAATTCGCCCCTTTTGACTCACGCCTAATGTTTCAAAATGGCGTATTTGATGTTTTTTTTTTCAATAAATCATAGCACGAAAACGGTTCATCTAATCGAAATTCGTCTGAATCAAAGTTGTAGGAAACTGAATTGCCTTTTAGAAAAAAAAAATACGCAC